CACCTTGCACAAGAAATTTATTTTGTGATCAACAAGTGCAAATCAGTCCAGGCAAAAACAACTGATGGAAGCACCTTGCACAAGAAATTTATTTTGTGATCAACAAGTGCAAATCAGTCCAGGCAAAAACAACTGATGGAAGCACCTTGCATGTACTCACTGAGTGGGTACATATGAGGTATAAAGTTTCATTTAGTTTATTATACAAGCCCCACTCAGGAGGAAACTTCCATCTGCCACCACTCTAGCAACTGGTCACCGGAAGTGGCAAGGACTCCTGTGCTCCAAAAACAAAAAGGGGGGGGGGAATATGCATTGGAGCGTCTGGAGGAACAACACACTAGAGATTGTGCAATGGGTGTCTGCAATTCTCTATACTGAAAAGCAGAAAGATGCTGATTGTAAGAATCACTGATCAGAAGAGATGGTCAAAAATCCACATCAGCTTTACTCTTGATGTCCACAAGTGATGGTCCTTTATACATATGAAACAGTAATAACAGAATATATATACACACACACCACAGGATAAGCAGCTAGTGGTCTTACAGAAACACCCTATCTTAACAGTGAGCATTATACAAGTATACAGATTTAGTGCAAATATAATACTAAGCATACCTGTCCAGGTAAATCCACCACCAGGTGGGATCCTGAAATATGATGTATATCAACAGAATAAGATAAAAAATAATAATACATTGACTTACCCCAGTCAAAGGTGAACTGACATGTGTAGAATCGCCACAGGAGGAAGACAATACCCATTTAAAGAAGACACAGCTAGGTCATGCATATAAAGTGTGAGAAATGTATTGGGAGTTGTTCACATACCAGCCTGAATGATATCCTCCATAGGATGGTGGTTTTAAGCAGCTAAAGACACAGTGAGATGATGAATATGGTGCAAAGAAACATTATGTAGAAGGCAAACTTCCAGGGACAAGTCGTACGAGTTGACAAACCCAACCAGTGAGCATAATAGGTGATAGATCATGGGAAACACAGAAATTCCATGGAACAAATAAACAGAAATGAGAACCATGAAAGAAGGCAGTACGAGCCACATAACATAGCAGGGAATGAACTGACCAAAGTAGTTGATCTGGATCCAAATGGGAATACAGGTGGAAATGGAAGGGAAGGAAATAGGAGAAAAGACTAAACAATCTTCTCAGGCAGCCAATGTTCCAGGAAGGAAGACCCGATACAAGGAATGGTAAAGGATGCAGGAAACATTAAGGACATAAATATAGGAATGATGATGACCATATGTGCTGAGGAGGAGAAAACAGGTCTGAAGGGAAAGATGGTACAAGGAACACATTGCAATAGATTCAAACAGGAACTAGACAGGGCATGAAAGACAACATTGAGATCCCAATCTAGCTGAACAAATAAATGAGGTGGTCAAACCAGATGAAAGGAATGGAAAAGGAAGGTAATAACTGGGGGAAGAGAAGGCTTTCCAGGAAGCGGGAGTACAGAAGTTGTTCAACAGGGCAGCCCTATGAGGAGTAACAGTTGAAACAGACCAATCCTGACCAAGCAACCAGGTGAAGATCTGGGACAGTTGAGGAACAGAAGAACAGGATGGTTGGAAGCCAATGCAATTGGACCAAAGTCTGAAGTAAAGCCAATGCCTCTGGGAGATACACAAGGAGGAAGGGAGAATGGTAATGGCAAGGAAAGACGTTACATACGGGTGTGAAGATGGTGTTTGGTGATGTTGGGGTGAAACATGACCAATCGCAGTTGACGGAGGAGCAATCAGGACAGAGGTAAGGGTATGGGCTGTTGCTCCCATAAGAACCAGAGCAGAGGAATCCACATCTGAGCCAGCCAATACAGAGCAACTAGCAAAACAGGACATGGAGTGGTCTGGACAAGGGAAATGACTCTGAAGAAGAGACTGATTGGAGGGTAGACATATAGGTGAAGACCACTCTAATCTTGACTGAAAGCATCCACCCCCAGAGCTAAGGGGTGAGGAGCTGAAGACTAAAAGGAAGCAGCTTTGGCATTTCAGTGAGTGGCAAATGCATCTATATACAGTGTTTTCCCAGTTGAGAATACATCCACTAAAATACATGAGGATGAAGGGACCCCTCTGTGGGAAGAATCTGGTTGGGATAAGCAATCAACCACAAGGTTCATAATTCTAGGACAAGCCTGAACCACCATGTCGTGGTCATTGGCCCAGTACAGGAAATCCAGAGCCTGAAAACAAAGAGATTAGGACTTGGTCCCCCCTGCTTGGTAATAAAGCTGATGACATTGGAATTGTCAGAATGAACCATAACCACCTGCCCTTGCAGGAGCAGGAAGAAATGATGGAGAGACTGATGAACCGCCAAAGGTTATAGGATGGTGAAATGGAGAGTAGCCTCCTTGACTGCCCACCAACCCAAAATCTTGTGGTAAGCAAGGAAGCCCACCCCCTCTCAAACCCATCAAGGAAGCATCTATGAACAAATAAGACTAGGGATGAGGAAGAGGAATGGGAAATCCAGCCATGGTCAAGTCCCTGTTGAGCCACTAAGCAAGCTCAGCCCTGATTCCAGGTGATGGAAGATGGGATGGTCATAGAGATCATGGGAAAAGTTCCACTGGTCAAAAAGCATTTATTAAAGGGAATGCATGTGTGCCTGATCCAAGGGAATGAGAGCTTCCAAGGAAGCCCACATCCTCAAAAGAGATAGAACTTCCCATTCCAAATCCTAGAGCAGAAGTGGAGAAAACTGGTTGCAACTAAGATGGGAATTGAAGAGAACCCCCAAAAGAATGAGAAACTAACCTATTTATTATTAAGCTATCAAACAGTTATATTTTGATTGTTTAAATGACTAAATTTATTGTAATTTTACAAACAAATAATATACAAGTTTTACTGTAATTTTAAAAGCGACTAGAATAACAAACATGCTTTACTTTTAATCCTACAGATGACCAATAAATTAAAGCTTTATTATAATTCTGTAGATAACTAATAACCAAACTTTCTTTTTAATTCTATCAACGACAAACAAACAAGATATACTGTACTTATACAGATGACTAATAAATAAGCTTTATTGCAATATTATATGTGACAAATGAATGGGCTTTAGCATAATTCTGTAGATAAATAATAAAAAGCTTCAGCATAAACTTACAGACAGCCACTAAACAAGCTACTGTGAATTTTATAGATGAATAACAAACAAGGTCTACTGTAATTTTATAGGCTAATATACAACTTTACTTTTAATTCTGTAAACGACTAATACAATAGTTTTCTGGACTAAAAAAAACATGAAAAAACAATAAAAAACTTTTTTGTAAGAAAGAAACTACATACCAGCAAGAACACCCACATAGCCCAGTAGTAAGCAGCTCCAAAGAACCAGGCTTTGTAGAAAAATCGTAACAAGAGAAAACTTGCACGGGTCATAGTGCATTCATCTTCAAGAAAAGAGCAAAAGGTTAAGTATTAAACATCATGGTGAGAGTACCATTTGATATTAATAATATTGTACAACAAAGTAAAAGATGTTATTCTTGCATTATTAGTAACATTATTAATCCTTTGGGGCCTGTAGGATATGTTGGTCTCTATCATTATTACACTGAAAACACTTAAATTGCACAAAACTTAGTATACATTTTCTTAGTAAAGTCTACTCGATTCTTGAAAAAAGTTCAATTTGATCTACTATTTGAATTTCTTTTGTTGATTGAAGCACTTCACTTCCCACTATGAATCATGGTGTGATTGACAAGAATTTACCAATGATTTCACTCTTCAAAAAGTCAAAAGTTACCTTTGTCATGTTAGTTATTTTTTGCTAAGATAATTCTATATATATATACAGACACACACACAAATTATAGTTTGTTTAAAATAAGTAAGTTCTTGTGGTTTGGTGTTTGAGTAAATTTAATGTCACATACAAAAAAAAGGACTCTTGGTATCTGTAGAGTTTGAGATTTCCACACTCACTTGCCCAAAATATCCTTATCTGATGCCTTATCATACAATATTTATGTAACTTTGAATGGGATATAATACAAAAGCATTATCAGGTATAAAACATACATTATCAGAAACTGTAAAAAAATATTCCCAGGTCTCTTAGTTAGTTAGAAGCAGAAAAGTATTAAAATATTGTCTTAAGGTTTCTTTGTTTAGTGTGTCTGTCCCTAACTCTCCTTTTCTACAACATAAGTGATTTTCATAAGGCATTATTGTACCCTAAGTTACAATGTTATGACTTTATATAAATGACCCTTCCTTTCTGACAATTACAGGGATGGGATCACATCAAAGTGGTTAACATTGAAAAAAGAATAACCTACTGAGTGTAGCAAGGTGAAAAAGTTTGGTAATAGTCACATGGAGCAGCATTCCCAATATTTTTTCACTGTTTATAAAATACATATATATCATAGAAAAACTCCCACCCCTGTGATCATTGGATTGAGGTTGTACTCCTCAAAGTTTAGAACCATTCAATGTTGTCAAGATCTTCCTGGGAGGCACAATAAATGAGTTCAACCAATAAGTTTACAACTGAACACGCAGAAGGCCTAAAATGCAAAATATATACCAAACTAACTGAAAATGTTCAAATCTCAAGAAAGAAATAAAAGCTTACGAAGCAGCACAAAAAAATCTAGAATGATTTACAGTTCAGACATGAGAAATGAGCTTGAATATTTTTGAATTTTTATTTTTTCTATGAAATTAACACGTAGTAAATAATGCTCAAATATTTTTTGAATAAAATATTGTTCAAGCAGAATTTGACTAGTTTATTTTAATTAAATTTTTCAAGTTGAGTAAAAGTGTGTACTCAAGTGATGTGAGCACCATTTGGTCTGGAAAAGGTTACAGGTTATACATTTAATATGAGCTTGTGAAAAAACTGAAACTTCTTATTTTTTCAGAATCTTTATCCACATCATAACAGTAATATTATTTATATATCATTTTTTAAAATAATTCCCAAACATTCACGATACATTTTTTCTCTATAATAATAGCAACTACTGAATACAAGAAATTGGAAGTAAGTTCTTTTTACCAGGCAGTGCCTCTGAGCTGCATCTCTTCAGTGCTTGGCCTGTAGAATTCCCTGTTGCATTTGTTATATTAGCCTAAAACAAGAAGGTATGCTTGAATATAAAGAATCGTGAAAGTCTTCTGTACATATAAAATAATGATAATATGACAGTGGCATGAAGATACAACACTCATACGTAATAGAACATAATAATTTATAGCAAGATGATGATGTACAACTTATGCATAAGGAATATTGATAGCTTACAGCAGTGGTACAAAAATCTGTACAGACCACTATGGGTACACTTTCAGTTACTTATTTTACAATACATTAAAAAGGAAACAACACTTTTCACCTATTCATGACATATATACAAATTACAAAATCAACAGAAATCTAATCTTTCACAAGACCTCCCCCCCCCCCTTCTTCCATTGGATGTTTCTGCAGACCAGTGGTTCCCAGCCACTGGATCATTGGTCTACAGTATGAGGACAATATATTTTTTATATTGAAAACATCAACAAAAAGATTTTTGACAACAGGAATTCATAATACTTTTGAAATCAGATACACAGTAACTAGTGTGTTTCCTTTAGAAAATGCTATGTGAACTACTTAAACATTAACTTGTGTTAGTTGAATATTTTATGAAGCCCTATGAAAACTACAATAAAAACTTTTTGTGTCAATTCGATAAAAATAATCTTTTAAATAAAACAATTAAGACAACTTATACTTATCAAAACAAATCAGTAGAATGAAAAACTGGCCAATTCCTATAAACATACAGAGGTAGATGACTAACTCTATCACCTATGGGCATGGATTACATCAAGTTGTATCATGTAAAGTGATCAATACCAGCATTTCTGATTACTACTATTTTTCATTATTCCAACTCTCCAAGCCTATAGTGAGAATAATCAATTAATTGAACATAATTGATTAATCAGCCCAATGAATAACTGATTAGCAACTTTCACTAACAGCCCAGCTCTACATGCATATAGATAAAATTATTTTCATCATTTCAACCTTATTGCTTATATTTCTATAGAATCAAAGAGAAAAGTGAGAACAGCCTAAAAAAATTTTAAATGTTCAAGACAAAACTTAAACAATTAACCAAATTCTATCCAATATCATTACTGGCAAAACTTTTACAAAAAGATTCAGTACAATTACAACAACTGCCTGTTGCAGAAACACAAGTGTAGAGGACAACGTTTTGAAAGCCTTTCTGAAGACAAAAAGTGGAAGACTTTCAAAACATCGTCTTCTACACTTGTGTTTCTACAACAGGCAGTCGCCATCCATTGAACAAAGTTTCATCATGAATATTCTGCCTGAACAATCTATCAAAGAACTTTAAGAATACCATTAAAACTTCAAAAAGAGTCTTACAATGTACTGTTGACTGCCATAGGTGGTATATTGTGGTGAAACACTGTAGAGAAATATGTTGATAGCAAGTATAGTGTACATTAAAATTGAACACAGCATCAACATTCCCTGGGGTGGTGTTCTACGAGGACGTATCTTGTACATCTGAAAGTTTATATAAATCTTATTTGTTTTTGAATGCACATCTGCCAATTCATATGGTTTATTTATCTAAAAGTGCATAGAAAATGTTCTACCTTCATTTAACTTCAAAACTGAAAACAAGTATATGAATTTATACATTTATTTTGTGTAAAAGAAAAATTGGAGCTGATACATTTCACTGTCAAACACAAAAAAGCACACATATACCAAATGAATGCCATATTTCTTGTTTTAAATTTAGAACTATTTTTTTTTACAAATCTATTTTAAAGAGAGCAACAACCACACAAATTTATAATACAAAATATTTGTTTCAAACATTGTAAAAGAATCTTGTAAATTCATTGAATAAAAATTTAAAACTCTAGCAAACTGAATGTTTTCAAACATTGCAGTTCCTATGACACTTACTCTGACACAAAAACACCAGATTCCAAGATTCCTGATCCCAGAAATTGTAAACAGAACCAGGTAAATCAGAACACATACAAAAATCACATAGTCTACTGGAAAAACCTGAAAATGTAACAAGTAAATAAATGAAACATAATCTATAGTACTGAAAATTTTACAAGAAATTTGAATGCATTCTTTACATATAAATGTACACACTATTAACTGAATAGCATAAAATACAGTGAGGTGTAGAGTTTAATAAAAAACCTGAATGTCCCCCGGAGAGCTGAAACATCAGCCTGAATAAGTTTGTTAGCAAACTAAAACATTTAAGTGATATAAAACTATTTTCATGCGGAATGTTAAATAAACACTATAGTCAATAAATGGAAGTAGAAATAAAAAAGGCTCTGTTTCTTTAGTGCTTAATTAATAGAACCATTTTGGATGTTTTATGCCATGCTTCTTCAAGTTTTGTTTCTTTAATGAGGACATAATTACATGGTTTATGTTCTATAATGTTTAATAGGCAAACCTAGTCAGAATTTTATGTTTGAGACTTTTTCAGGTTTTATTTTACTGAAGGACCATGTATATGTAATGTATTTCTTCAAGTTTTATCTAATTTTGTTGATGAACCTAATCAGAATATGTTTTGTGCTTTTTTCAAGTCCTTTTTTTATATATCTTATTGATAAACCAATGAGGATAATATGCTTTAGACCTACACAGTATTAATGATTTTCTATTTTTACACTACAGTTCAAGAGTTGCAGTATAATTTTAGTAAACTGGCAAGCATTAAGATTTTGTGCTAAACATTTTTTTGACAAAGTTTATCACAAATCTTTAGTTACTGGGAAGTCTATTACATATCTATTAAGATACGAATTAACACACTTATGAATTTATTATCAATACAAATGAATCAGTCTAATGAAACTCAATAACATTTATTTTTTTTTAAGAGAAATAACCCGGATGTGATTTAGGTTATATTATATATCAACAACACATATTTACCTTCTGAGCATGAACAAGAACAAAGTCAAATGGGTTTGGTAAGTTTGGCTGTGTCTGAGCGTATCCCATTTTATAGCCGAGAGAGTTAATGGCTTTATCAATACTAAAAAAATACAAAAAAGTTTGAGAGATACTACCTACACATAAAAAACAAACAAAATAATTACACTATCATACACTCATAGAAAAAAACGACTTCATTATAAAAACATTTAGAAGTGTATGTGTGTATACACATGCACATATCAATGACACTACCTACATTCAAATATTCTCCAATTCTAAATATTCACATTCTGAAGAAATTGTATCTTTACTGTTTCAAGTTTTAGACACCTCTCTTTCCTATTTATTTATAGGGATTCCATTTTAAAACAAAATATAACATATACTCTTGCTTATGACAACTTTTGTCACACTAACTTTGATAAAAGTAAAGAAATCCACAGCAAAAATCCAAGTAGAGCTCCGAGAATTCCTATGACCATTTGGAAAGGGCGTATTATGCATCTACACTTGTATGTCAAACTTTCTCTTAGGTTCTTAAGGTGCCTCTCTCGTCTAGAAAGCAGATGTTCATTTTCTTGAAGCTCAGCCAAATCTGATTGTTCTCGAGATGACAGCTTTTTTTTATTTTGATACTACAAGTAGATAAAAAATTAATTGTAGAACATTATAACTTGGTATATAACAATTAAAATATTTACTCTTATATATGCATAATAATCAAATTAGAAAACTAAAGATCTATTAGTTTGAAACAATAATCTCAGGTCAATATTTTCCCCCTTCACTTTTCATCCTTTCCAAAGTCCATTAATCTTAATGAAGACTTCTGAGGGCTCGAGAAACCTATAGTCACAGAAGACCATGGAAGGTGTTTGTGAAAGATATAACATGAGTAAACTTTTGTACACACATGTTATGGAAAAACTGGTATGTTAAATTCATTGCAAGGCTCATGCTTTGTCTTGAAGCATCTTTACTTTGTTGGGATCCATTCCATACAAAGATATTTCCTTGAAGTATAATGCAGTCAGTATCTTAGCTTAATATAATGCACATTCATCAGGGCATATTCTTGACTCTCTGGATGTTTAGTTTATCGTTATAGTTGTGACTTGCAATTATAATAATTTTGTTGAAAAACTTTTCCAACATGCTCTATACCATTTTAAAAATGTTATGTGTATGAAAAGGACAACAAAGCAGACATATCCTTCATACACCATACTATCCTGTATCACATGCCAGATATTGCTCATACAACTTTCAATAGTTTAGTTTTTGTTCAACTATCAGTTTGGGGAGAAACTTATGAACACAGTTTATGTTGCATTTTTAGACAAATATCTGTGTGAATTGTCCTGTTTACAGATTTAAGGGAGGTTCTTTTTTTAGCTAAAACAGACTAGAGTTCTTGAGTTACCTCTGAAACAAGCTACTGAACCTTCTTCACTACTTCAGCATATAGTTGTAAAGTACCCCCTACTTTGCTTCAATGATACAGTTTATCATTACAGATATCTCTCTCTTTCAAGTTCTATAATTTCATGTCTTGCATAATTTGGTAATTATGGAAGAGGAGAATTTCACCTAATAGTCCTGTAATGTAACTCTCTCAGAAAGGGTCAATTTTAGGTGTCCTGTACTTGCAAACCTTCACACTTGAAAAATAGGAGACTTTTAACCTGTATAGTAACCAGCCATGAGGATGATCAGAGGTAAGGTAACTGAATAAGAGATTGTTACCTACATCATGAATAACCTTCTGGATTCTCCAAGTTTACAGCAACCAACTATATTATTTGATTATCATACTTGTATACTGTCAAAATGTAAGTACATGTGCTGTAAATACATATATACTTTACCTTGTCTCTCAGGTTAGTTATCCGTGATGTTGTTATTTCTCTCTGATTTGTTACATCATCTTGTTCTGCTGCAGCACTTCTAGTTCCCCGAAAAAGATGGATAGGCCATGATGAGATCCCACAACCCTAGGACACATTACTTATTTTTAATCTATTATAGTAGAAAGTAAATAATAACTATAATAATAATAATAATAGTAACCAAGATTGAGACTTCTTCAATCCCGGTTATAAGCTACTGTCAGGTTTTATGTATAGGCCAGATTCTTTACAGTAGGTGCCTGTGACATGTTAGCAATAAATTTCAAAAATAAACAAACACACAGTCCACTTGTTTTAAAATAATATACTAAAACAAGTCAAACATATATATACAAATGTTGGTTATCACAGTTGTATTTAGAGCTTTAAATAATTCTCTTTTTTTTGTCAAAGTCCACAATTGACGAGATGAATAATTTTTCCTGCTCTGTTATTAGGCCAATCTGTGATAATTTCACTTTAAAAATTGCTACTATACATTCTTTATGGCTAAACTGAACTAGATCACACAGTATAGATCTAACACTCATTCTAATTCAAACTAAATTTTGGATGCATATTTATACTCAAACAGAGGTCTAGAACATTCCACACTCTACTAGAGTGTGTGTGTATATTATATATATATAATCCCACAGTACTACTAAAAAGAAAGATATACATAAACATCAAATGTATAGATACTCACAGTGTAAATGATGAAATACAGCATACCAATAAGACTTAAGACTCCCAGTATAAAAGACAGAGCATCTTCACCACCTGAAAGGAAAAGAAAATCCATTGCTCATTAAATGCCCGCTTCACATATACAACACTGAACAGACGATACCTTTACAAGCTATAAACCAAAACATTCAATAACACATATGATTTCACCTTCATGATCTGGAAATCAAACCCTGCAGCACACAATGTACTACATTTTCATGATCTGGAAGTCAAACCTTCCAGCACATAATGCACAACACCTTCATGACTGGGAAATCAAACCCTCCAGCACATAATGCATTACACCTTCATGACTGGGAAATCAAAACCCACAGCACACAATGCATTTCACCTACTGGATCCTCTGGTTTTGAATCCAGTTAACTTCACCATATAGTAACCTAAGTTAACTTAGGT